AAACAAAATACCTTTATTTAAATTTTAAAACAGAACCAAAAAAATAAATGCTGCAGCTCTTAACTATCAAAATTTTAAACTCTTAACTACTACAGTTAAAACTCTTACCACTATTAAAATACTCAAAAATCTTAAACTCTCTAAAACAAAATATATCAAAATCTTTCGAATCCTCTTCTTGTTGCCACACCGTAAAATTGCAAGTTCTTGTCCTATTATTTATATTTCCCGTTCTTACACGATCTTTACAGGTCATGATCTTTACAAGTTACGATCTTTACAAGTTACGATCTTTACAAGTCATGATCTTTACAAATCACGATCTTTACGAGTCATGATCTTTACAAGTCACGATCTTTACAAACCCCCCACAAAGAAGCACATTCGTCACCGTAGAGACAATTCTGCTCAGAGTTCATTGAGAGAGAAAGAGTTAACAGCTAACCTTGACAAAGCATCAGGATTCCCATGTGAACTCCCTTTGCGGTATGTCACAGTCATGTTATACCGTTGTAACGCTAAGGCCCAACGAGACAGTTTAGCACCATGAGGGTCGCTTTGGGTCAAGTAGGTGAGGGGATTGTGATCAGACACAATCTGCACTTTGGCACCGAAAATCCATGTGTCAAATTTTTTCAAGGCTTCGATGACACAAAATGCTTCTCGTTCGACGGTTGATCATCATTGTTGACAGGGCGTTAGTTTCTTGCTGAAAAATGCTATGGGCAGTTCTTTTGTAAATGGCCTATGTTTATTATCATTCTCACCTATGGTAGGCAATCCTAGTAGCTGTTGTTCCTTGTCATCTTTCCACTGTTCTATCTTTCCAATGGCTTTGTCAAGTAGCTCATACCATTTATCAATTGTTTCAGCTTTATCGATTTCTTCAAATATGGGATTTCTGTGCTTGCTGAAAGTCCTATAAACTAAAAAAATCTCAGCAATTTTTTCTACTGCTTTTTCTAATAATTCTTCATCAACATGATGTAGATCGTCTACCTCGACTCGGCTCTTCTATTAATTCAGCAATTCCTTCCGTTTCTTTCTCGTCTTCCAGTTCTTCGCTGTCATCCGAATAACTTCTGTTCAATCTTCCATGTTTCACCCTTAAACTTGAAAGGTTCTGTGGTTTTCAGTTTCATTGTGATGACATTTTCCTTTTCAGTTTTCAACTTTTGTTCTATAATCCAGACTTTCTTTTTCATCTCCCAGTTCAACAGTATCTATGCTGCCCTTATTGTACTTTTTTGTTTCTGTTATCATCCAGAATTTCTTTTTCAGTAAATTGTAATAGTTCACTGTTATCTCCAATTTATTTTCATTTTAAGATCTGCAGCTTCTGTGTGATTTACATTTTCATTTTCAGTTACTAAGTCAGCTTTCACACTTTCCTTATGGATTATTAAGTCTTCTTTTTATCATCTACTTTTTCCTTCTCGTTTCCCAATTTCAGCAATATATTCTTTCTCTTCTATGTTTTCATAATCAAGATTTACTTGTGTTTTATTGTCATCTGCAATTATTTCTTTTTCAGCTGCAGTTTCAGCATCATCAGTATTTTCTGTTTTGGTTACTGGCTTCACTTTAGTTTCACTTTCATTGACAGTTTCTTTTTCAACTGGGATTTCAGTCTCACCCATAAATTCGTTTTTACTTTCAGGTGGAATAATTTCTACATCTGTTATTTTGCTGTCAATTAACTTTTCCTCTTTGAGTTCATCTTCTGTTTCTACCCTCTTAGTTTCTTCAGTTATAATTTCTTCCTTCTGTGCTTCCTGTTCAACAATTTTATCTTCTATCATTTCTGTTTTCTCTATTTCTGTAAAGGGCAGTTCTTTACAACTTTCACATAATTTTTTAACATCTTGCTTAATAGTAGGCCAAAAGAATGAGTACTTGATTCGTACTTGAATTCGTACTTGAAAGAATGAGTACTTGAATTGTCTTTTTCTCACCGAGGTGGCCGGCAAGAGGGATTTCATGTGCCATTCTTAGGACTTCCCTTCTTTTTTCTAAAGGTAACACAACTTGCTTAATGTTTTCACCACAGATATATTCGGAATAAGTAATATGCCATCATCAAAAGTATATGAATTTTGATTTTATTTGCCCATTCAAAGCATTTTTCAGAGTTTCGTCTTGTTCTTGATGTGTCTTGATTCTAGTCTTACTCTATTCGTTGTTTTTCCCAGACTCTATGTTTCTTGGGAAAGCTGATTAACAACAGCCAAATTGGTAGTATTTTCTTCACTGGTAACGGTTTATCATCTGTCTCTTTGTACTCTAAGGGGATGCATCCCAATAACGATCACAGTTAAACAGTTCGATATTCCCACAGAGTGTTTCATAAGCTGAAAACTCAATAGCAAATCGGTAACTAGCTTTTTTGAAACAGCACACGCAAATGGACACTCTACCGTGAAAATCATCGTCAATTTTCATCTGGAAAATCTTTAGTGGAGTAATTTCGTTTCACCAAAAGCAGAAGATATCTCTATTTTACTTTCTCCTTCGCAAGGTAGTTTGTCAACCAATTTCTCACGGACTACTGAGATTTGTGCTCCCGTGTCTACGATTCCATTTAAAATAATATCTCCACATTTAACTTTGACAAGTTTTAATTCATCTATGTTTCTAGACACGTCCACTGATTTTGAGACAGGATAGATCTTGGGCAGTTAGCACTTCTGGTTTTTCTTTTTCTGTAAGGGGTGCTTGTGTTTGTATTAAGTTGTTTTGTGCTGTTGCAGAAGCACTTCTTGGTATCCGATTTTGGTACATAACTTAGATGTATGATCTTCTTTTCCACAATTATAGCAAGTTAGTTTGAAACTAGGCTTTTGTGGTTCGTCACTCTTACGGGATGGGTACACTCTTAGCGTGTTTTCAGCGGACAGCGATTTATTTCTGAAAGCTCTTTCTGGAAGTGGAGAACGATGTTGCCATTTTTTATTAGTTCTGTCTGCTGATGGATTACCACCATTCTGTTTTGAGATATTACGAACACTGTCATATTCGTCAAGTTTATCAGCTAATTTGGTTGGAGAAACGAATTTCGCCCAGTCGTCAAGAAGATGGTCTCTTACTTCATAGAGTACTCTTTTCTTAATTTGGTCAGTAATAATCAAGTCTTTTAAAAAAACGCGGCAAAATTTGTGATTTCAAGACCATTGATCCATTCTTCAAAATAACTTGTAATTTCGTAGCAAAATCTCTCCATGATTTTTCAGCGCTCTTTTGGTGCATCACAAATTTTTTCTAAAGCTTTCAGGATTAATTTAAATCTCTTCAATAAATGGCCTTAATGTACTCATAATCTTCAAAATTTTCTTCAGATTCCCTACCAATTAATTGAATGATTTCAGATGGCATTAAAGTCAATAAACATAAACCCAATCTTTAGGATCAATCTTTGTCCTTTTAGCTTGTCTTTCAAATAAGGATAAATAAATCACATATCATCGTGTCTTAAATTGAATTTGGAATAAGCTTAATTAAATCAAAATTATGATGTTCATTTTCATTTGTGGTGGAGTTTGTGTTAGTCGAACACGAGATTCAATTTCGAGTTTCCTCAATTCAATTCCATTTGCTCTCTTTTCTGCTGTGCTTCTAATTCTTCTTCCTCCTTCGTCTTTCCTCAAGCTCTTCTTTCTCCTTTCTTCGCTGTTCCTCAATCTCTTCTTTTCCTTCTTCGCTGTTTCCTTAATTTCTTCTTTCTCCTTTCTTCGCTGCTCTCAATCATCTCTTCTTTTTCCTTTCTTCGCTGTTCCTTAATCTCTTCTTTCTCCTTTCTTCGCGTGTTCCTCTTCTTTTCTTTTCCTCTCTTCAATAATCATTAAAAACACTTCTTTAGCAAATGCTTCATCATATGTATCACTTTGAATTATTTCATTTTTTATCGCCACGATTTTCATACTTGGATCTACTTGAATTTCTAATTCAGCAGCTAAAGCCAGCAAATCCTCTTTTTTCCCACGTCCCATAAAAGCCATGTCTCGATTTTATTCAGCTAATAGACTCTTAGTTTTTTTTAATAAAAACAATTTTTTTTTCTCTTTTATTTTCTATTTAAATATAATTCACAATGAATTTAATTTTATTCGGCACGAAAATCAATCAGTGGAATCAATACTTAATGTGTTGTTCACCTACTCTGACGAGTCAAATGAAATTACATTTGAACACTGGCGTATTCATTACTTTGACAAGTAAAATAAACTAAGATTCCGGAATCAATACTTAATGTGTTGTTCACCTACTCTTGGCGAGTCAACGAAATTACATTTGAACACTGGCGTATTCATTACTTTGACAAGTAAATAAACTAAGATTCCATGACGGAAACAATAATTAACTTTTCATAATCTTAATTAATTATTTTACGTTTACTAGGTAAATTGAGCTCTCACCTGAGTTATTTTGGTTCATAATTATATGCGGGGAAACTCCGATCCTGTCGACTACGCCAGTAAAAATCCTTTCCTCATTTCAATATAATGAATATTGAATCTTGTAGGAAGAATAAAGCTAATTTTTCAGAATAAACAAAATACCTTTATTTAAATTTTAAAACAGAACCAAAAACATAAATGCTGCAGCTCTTAACTATCAAAATTTTAAACTCTTAACTACTACAGTTAAAACTCTTACCACTATTAAAATACTCAAAAATCTTAAACTCTCTAAAACAAAATATATCAAAATCTTTCGAATCCTCTTCTTGTTGCCACACCGTAAAATGCAAGTTCTTGTCCTATTATTTATATTTCACGTTCTCTTTAAGTCTCGATCTTTATAAGTCATGATCTTTACAAAAGTCTTCAACGAAGGTAGTATCTCCTTGGCCGGTATCTAACAAGGGCTTTCTCTATCAAAACCAATCATATTGTTTTATGCGGGTAATCATCAATATGTTGTATTTAGAGAGGGATTGTTCGCGATTGCTTATTTTGAAGTATATATGTACATACCTTACAGACCTTCAGTATTTTTCTTACCTTTTATTTGTTTCTGTGATCAGATCAGCAAATTTGACGACGAAATTTGGATCAGAAACAATTAAAGTTTCATTTTCAAATATTTCATCATTCAACAATCCATTGATATATTTCAGCCAATCAATCTATCGCAAATCAAAATAGAACTATTTTAGATATTTATTCACAGGTCATTTTCGAAAAAGTATTATTAAACTTTAGTAAGAGAATATAATAGAAGCAGAAATAAAATTAAAAAACAATATTTAAATTCAATAACAACAGATGATCGAACGCAGAAGCAATAACAATTTTAATAATTATGAGAAAGAATATTTATTTAATGGCTGAAATATTAAATTACTTCTATATAAATTTGCACATAAGAAGTGTAGTATTGACGCGTATTTAGTTATTCCGCCTTTTCAAATAAAACGTAGCTTTACGACACATAAAGGCGGCAGTTAATCAATTCGAAATGCAAAATATTCAACAAAAATTTCAATTTTGATTTTTAAATAATTATTGTACACCTAGATTTGCAATATTTATATGGTTCTTAAATATGTCGAACATTGTGATAAAACTATTAAATAGTAAATAAACTATTAAATAGTAAATTAGGATATTTTTAAAATATTTTTTCATGACTTACTAGCTGTTTCAAATTTTATGATTTTATAATGCGTAAGATATCTGCCATAAATGTAACAATGTAACACGATCTGCAAAATTTTAACGTAAATGCATCAATTGCATTATTTACCTGAACCATAATTTTTAACTAATTCATTTTTAAAAAAATAACTAAGTATTACTTTCAAGAACATTATTTAATGTTAATTTTTCGCATATATTAATTATACTGAAAAATTCCAGTTTTCCTTAACAAATCTTGAAACTTATAGTTAATTTAAATGTTGCTTTGATATTTATATGGGCTAAAAAGTTTGAGACGGTATGCTTGTAAAATCTAGTCTTTTTTCTAACATACACTGGCTTACTTGGAAGTTTTTGTAGTGACTTTCCTTGCACAAACTTTCAAATAAGTCCACATTCGCTCAAACTAGAAGATAAATACAATAAGGAAAGAGAGTAAAAGCCACTTTTATTAAATTCAGTAATGCATAGACGGCACGGTCTTTCGTGCTTATAATTTCATCAACCATCTATGGTGAGGAACTTCTAACTTTTAAACCAGTTGGGAACAAACTAAATTGAAAGTTAAGCTCGTAGTTCAAGACAAATTAGCAGTTTGACTCAGAAGCGTACATCGAAGTATTACTAACTTCGGACTCAAGAATGCGAAGCCGAGATTCAAAATTCAAACAGATGGTAGAAATACCATTCACTACTGAGACGTGCGCACTCAGTAGTGAAAACACACTCAGATTAATGTTTTCCCTACTTCCGTTTAAATACACTCTCGTATTAAAATTTACGCTGATTCCTAATGTTGGCCTTTGTTTTTTATTGTTATTCAGCCTGATTTTTAAACTAAATTAAGGTGACGAGATGGTTCAAGAGTGAAATGATCTCCGTCAAATTTCCTATAGATGAAGTAGATCTTTTTTCCGGTTAAAATTAAGACATTTTAGGTGTTTACGTACGAGCCTCATCAAGCCTGATTCTTCCATTCTTGCAGATTTCTTTACTGTCGACGAAGAAGGACCTGTACCTGTTAATAATTTTATGTTCCTGTTTTTCGTAACGTATCCTTATTAAACAGGAATGGCTAATTTAAAATTTATTAATTGATTATTCGATTCCCGATTTCTTAAGGTTTCACTAATGGTTTCAAAGTATATTTAGAGTTATCATGTTTATTTCATGATATCTAAATGCCAATACGTTTACTAATATTGTTTTTATCGCAAGATTTAGATTTTCTGTTGTAGAGCCTATGTCTTTCTTGGGAACATTCACAGTAAACCGTACGTAGAAGACTGTGTAGCAAATTTTCGCTATGTCTCTGAAGAACAAATACTGCAGAAGAAGGTTTAAATAATTTTTAATTGAACTAAAGTAACAAGATGCATGAATTCCGTACTCATAATTCACCACCACTTGTGGCTAAACTAAATTGAACAGAAAATAAAAAAATGTAAACTCACAATTAATTAGGATGGTTAAATGACTGGTTCATTTGTTATCTAATCAGCTAAATCGGCTGCACACAGCAAAGCCGAGTCTAGAATATCAATATAATCTGGAGTGTGTCTAACACCAACTAGAGAGCTAAATCAAACACGCAGCATAAACTCGGAACTAACACCGCTACTACTCCTCACGAACTTTTGAACCCGCAGCTTAAATGCTGCTTCTGAACAAACTTAGATTTTGCACACTATGTCATTAAAATTTACATTCCTGAAAGAAACTGAAATTAAGAGGAAAAGGAAAGTCGAACTAAAAATAATTGGTTAGAACAAAAAAAGGTATTTACATTATATTTAAAGACTAATTTAAAGCCAATCTCATTATTTAAATTTCACCAATAATTTTTAGATTTTTGAATCGATTGCTTTAACATTTTTTTCTAAATAAAATTAATGGTACTAAGGGAAATAAATACTATAACTTCCATTATAAAATTTTTATCCAGAAAAGCGACAGTGCTCTACATATAAATGTTCAGCTAAATTTGAAAAAAATATTAATCCGCATAGGAAGGAAAATTTATAATTATAAGGCCAAAATAATTTTAAAAGAATGCTACCTGTTATATTTGATACCAAATATCTTAAATAAAAATAATCCTATTTTTCATTTGCAATGAAATACGTATAAAAGATGAAATGCTTTTGAAAGTTTTATAAGTATTTCATCATCTTAAATTCATTAGTATTTTAGTTTATAAGTATTAAATTAGTTTATTCCTTTACAATATAGAGAAATCTTAAAATAATTAATAATTTTACCTGTGGTATTTCCTCCATAAGCTTCTTAACTGTGTATTTATGATACATACTGTTATAGTCTCGTCTTTCCTCTTTTGGCGTCGAGATCTGAAAGAGAAAAAGTTGATTATTTAAAAACGGAATAACATACCATTAAACAAATTACTGCAGTGCTGGATTGGAATATGCAACGAAAGCAGCCAGAAAGGTCTTAGGTTTAATATATTCATTTGTTACTCATATATATTTCAAAACAGGTTTCAGTTGATTTAACAAAGCAAACACAAATTTTGATTAACAGTTTTATTTCTTAAATTTACTGATGACCAGTACTCTAAAAATCATTTCCTATTCTAAATATAATTCAGAATCTCATTCTTGGTAATTTTCTAAAAGATTATTATATGCAGGCGTAGTTTAGTTCTTTGTATTACATACAATTTTGTAATTTTTCTTAGAATTTTCATTTAACTTTCTTTTCTATGGATTCAAATAAACAACATGCTAACACCAATTTGTTCTTCAGAAATGCATTATTTCATTTTATTTTCAAAATTATGCAAGTCGCATCCAAATCATGGCTGTTATCATAGGAAAAAGAGTCCCTGTCCTCTCAATATCGCACTTTTAGACTGATTAGACATAATATAACAGATAAATGTAGTATGTGCACGCCATGGATTTAAGAATGGAGTGGGTACCAGCCAGGATTTAAGAATGGAGTGGGTACCAGCAACCCATGATTTAGGACTTTCACTGATAAGCCTTTTACTACGCTCGCTTTTATCGGTCCAATCAGCCTGTTATTACCATGTGATTCTATGCGTTTTCATTGTTTAGCTATGCTAATAGAAACAGCGTTTTGAAGCAAACTAAACATTTTTGTCTCATTATTAAAATACTTTTCATTCTTACAACAGTTAAGTTTCTGAGCTTCAGCTGTTTCAGCAAGCATCGAATATGCTACTAAACATGGGGATGTAATTACAAAGCAATTAGTTCTACTGTGATAATTTAAATATCGATAGAAAATTTAAGGAACAATAGTAAAACCGAAGTTCTAAGTAGATATAAAAGTAATAAATAAAAAATTACTGTAAACGTAATATAGTGTTTTTTTTTTTTTTTTGTTTTTTTTTTTTTTTTTTTTTTTTTTTTCTTTTCGAAATTATCTGACTCATAAGTAACCAGAAAAAAAACTGAAGAAAATAATAGTTTTATTTCTGAATAAAATAAAAAAAACCCAAAATTTATTTTCTATACTTACTGAACAAAACGTAAAAAAAATACTCTATGAAACATGAACAGGAGTGATTTGAAACGTAAGTATGAATTTCATGAGCAAAACAAAACTTAGAATCGTGCTCTACCTTCATCTAGAGCCAGTTGACAATCATTAAAATTTTCAAATATAAGAATAAGGCTTAAAATGCAAATATAAAGTAGAATACGTGACATATTAAAATAAATTATAAGAGAAAGGCAGATGTGCGAATATTAACATTAATAACAACATCACACAAGAATAGAAGGAAAGAGAAATGTATCTACACATTGTCCCGTTAATTTAAAGTCTAATGACAGAAGCGATGTGAAGCTCAATTAATTGGAAATGAAATTTCATTTAAGTGGGAATGTAATATGTATAATTAATTCCATTAGCCTTGTTTCGTGTTTTCTTAATCCACTAATGAAAATGTTTTAGAAATGTTTGAAATTTGTAAACAAGATAATTGCCTAAAATCTATCAATGACAGGAAGTGAATTCACCCCATGCAGCTCCAGAATTATTGTAACAAAAATAAAAATTGATTAAACAAATTAAAAATTAATTAAATAGTAAAATTAGTCTTCAAACATTGGTATAATAGTCTTAAGACATTCAAGATGAAATAAAGTAAAAAACAGTGAGTAAATCGCGAATGATTACGCAGCTTCTTATTATGCGTGAATAAATTTGTAAATTCTCAAAGATATTAGATAATGTGGAAATAGAGGTAAGGGAAAAAGAAATAATATTAAAAATTTGAAGAGGGAAAATTTTAAATGGAATAGGAACATTTAACAACAACTAAAAGATGCAAATAATGTCTTCTCTGAATCATTGCCTATTCAGAACGATCTGTCTTTCGATCATTATTTGATGCATGTATAGATAGAAAAAATAATTTTGATGATTTTCAATTCTAAAACCTCTTTCAATTCTAAAGTCAATTCTAAAGCCTCTTTCAATTCTAAAATCAATTCTAAAGCATCTTCACTTCACCTTTTCCGCTATTAAATCCTACAAAGCAATTGATTCCTTTAATCGCACATGAAAATTATCGAAATTTCAACCAACTTACCGATGCACCATTTATTTTAGTCAACTTTGATTTTTTACTGGTGCATCTACATCTGAGAATTATACATTTTAAACAATAAAATAAATTATTATACAGTCGTATAAAACTGAAGAGTAGCAAAACTCACAAAAAACACGATTATTAACTAAGCAACAAACCTTGAGTATTGAAAAGTGTTTCTTTTGCAGCTAAATAACAGATTTTCAGAATATTAACTTGCTGATTGCTTACAATAAGTTTTAGTTCCTCTTTTCTTCCTTTTCATTAAACTGAAAGATTCCTAATATTCGATGACAATGATTAATTTAACTATAAATATGCATATACGTTAAACAGAAATAAATTTATTCCATATATGCAAAAAATAAATATTAAGCAATTTTCTTAATAAATGGTTAATTAATTTTTAAATAATTAGGTTTCGAATGCTCTCTCATTTCTCTCTAAAAATGAATTCATATTTACGTTTAGGAGGTATCAAAATATGGCAAAGCACATGTGTTTAAGATGAGCAATATCTTCATTTAGGACTTTGAAAGAAAACTGGCTCATATAGCGTTACAATTGATAAAAACCAAGAAAACTAACCATGTAGGAAAATAACAGTTGGCCTGGTATCGAAAGTGGTTCGAACTCTGTAAATATTCAACGGTTTTAACCACTTGGCTACTGTTCGGAAAGCAAAAATAAAGAAACATTAATCCTCGAATATATATAAAACGTGCAAATACTTTGAACCAGTGATCTCATTCTTAATGTCTTGGAATAAAGTGTAAAATTTAACCTTGATTCATGTGTTAAAATACTAATTTTAGATTGCAAATTTTTCTGTAGACAGAGGCACGCAACAAAAACCAGCTTTGTTGAAATTCACACTGGCGTTCAAGACTTTTAAACTTAAGAGAAGATAACAGGGATAATAGCTATAGAAATGCAAGACATTAAGTTTTCAGAATGCAGTAAATAATAAAGAATTAAATATAATCTATATATTTTGTACTATATACGTTTATTATTTAAACTATATAAGTTTTTTATCTAAATATTATTATAAAACCCTTTGTTTGTATGCCTAGAGGAGTACTTAATACGCTTTTTGGGAGCATAATTTTGAGCTTTTTCTTATTTTTGTTCCTACAGCGTCAACGCCAACCTATCCAAAATATATGTGTTAAAGTAAATTCTTTCGCCATTTAAACTTGATACAATTTTTAAACTAATCGAGCTACGGGGCTTGGGAATTGGAATTCAGTAGATTTTACGAAAATGTGGCCTACTTCAAGCTATTAGTGGATACAATAATAGTAATTTCCAACGAAATCAGAAAGACAGCTTATTATAGTGTTTTAAGTAAAATTATGATGTAATTTGCATTTATGCAAATTAGTCTTTTAGTCGTCTTACTTAATGTATTGCATTCTAGATAAGGTGCCTTTTTAATAAAAATCACTGTATGCCAAACGGGATAGCCGCTATTTTTTCCTATGGTGTATCATTATAGAAACTCAATAGCCGGGTTTTTATATGTCACTAGATAACAAAAGTTTCCTAATTCCTATTCTCATATTATTAATTTGGTCTAATATTTAACAGTTAAACATGATATTTAAGATAAATGTGAGACTTTTTTTTTTCCAGTTCAAGTGCCTTTAGGCTTGTAAAGCTAGCGTGTCTCCTCGCTAATTTAAAAAAAAATATTATTTGTTCTCCATTATATTAACCAAGGGCAGATGTCTTTTAAGACTTACTTGAATAAACATTGAATCATCAGCCAATTTAACGGTCTTAGCGAAAAAAATCATGAAAAATTCCATACAGTTTTTTTTTCTTAGAGATCACATTATATGCCTCTCATAAAAGTAAAACCTCCTTCTTTCATCCTGATATTCATTGGACTAGCAATTGAAAATTCAGTATGAACTGTTAAATGAATTGGGGATTCATTTAGTAGATAGTAAAGTTAAATTTAGAGAAGTGTCCTTGAAAGGAATAATGATGTTTAATTACTTCAGAAGGATTAATTTCCTCAAAGAAAGAAAGTTTGGTTTACAAAAATTTAATGATACGAAATTTATGGAGCATAAAACATCACAATTGTAAATTTAAAATTGATTTGACTCATATCATTGAATACAAGTGAGACAGAAAGTATAAAAATACTGCAATACGAGGAGCCTTTATCTTCATTTTAAAAGTGCATTAAAGTTTTTAGAATCCCTCGACGGCAGATTAGAAAACAAACAAAATGCACGTTTTAATTTGTATATTATTTATTTTTCATTACTCCTTCTTATATTGAAATTTTATTGATCTCTTGCTCCTTTACTAAGTTGTTTGTTGCCAACGGTGCTTATGGAGTATCAGCTTAACGGGAAGAAATAATAAGACATTTTTCATTCTTATGGAATAAAATGCTTGAAATAAAATATATTATGGAAGCATATATTAATAACATAAAATATTTCCAACAAAATAAGTAAAGCAGTTAAAAAATTCCATACTCACAGTGGCGAGCATAGTTTCGAATCTGAGAACTTCCCGGAGTTCGGCTTCCGATGTCTCTTCATCTGCACCCAGTTTGTTAGCTGCTTTTACCATAAAATTGAAGTAAGCAGTCGTAACGGGATCATCTAATCCATGCAAAAAGTATACACGATCTGGCATTCCTAATTTTGCTTGATCCAGCTTGAAAATGAAAGAATGATTCCCATGAAATAGGCAATTTGAATATGTTAGATCTGAGATAAAAATTTAGAGTTTTCCCCCAACGCGGGAAATACATGATTAATATTTTAGATAAATTCACTATATTATTTAAATATTTCCCTGTAATTGAAAAGCAAACATCAAATCGTATTTTTTATTTTAGAGAAAAGATCTTTAAAAAATTACTTATTTGTATTCCATCATATTATTGAGTTTCGGATATCGGAGATATATTTACTCATTTTTTAAATGTTGTGCAAGTCTCAGCCGTTACTTTCGCCGTCAAATAATATCCTAAAAACCTACTTTAAAGTACAATCAGTGTATGCACCTAAAGGAGAAAACTACAGTAAAGGAAGATAAGGACACAGTTATGAGATATTTCCCAGCAGCCAAAATCACTCCTTGGAACAAGTGAGAAAAGAGAACCACAGCTATGGGACAGACTGGGAATTACAAAGCACAGTTCGAAGCATGTTACAAAAATAAATTTCAGATTTGTTACAACTAAAACAAACCCAATAGTTATAAAAATAATAAATTGAAAATAAAATGCAATTACATGCACATGTGAAGGTACACACAGGAGTGGGAGGGATACCTGAATTTCAGCACTGCTTGTGCAAATATTCCCAAATTCTGAGAAACAAGATCCCGCGGCTTGGCCTCTTGGTCTCCCACCCCTCCTTCTCTACCACTAACCTCCTGAGAGGACTTTCGGATCGTCGTGTATATTGAGTACCCCTTGTCGCACAAGATGCTCTACGCTTGCAAACCTTCGTAACTTTTCCGAGATTCGAACTCGGGCTTATCGATAGAACAGTCTGAGTCACAAACTATATTACTGGCTGGGAGGCTATATGCATATGCAGAAGACAGGTGAAAGCGTAGTCGGTCACCCAGGCAGCTTACAAGGACTATTGGGGTATAGCCCGGAATTCGCAGCTATACAAAACAAGAGCTCTCTGGCATCATATGAGAGCTGCGTTGGAGTTTAATACGAACTCTGTATGGCTGTTACGGTGAAACATTGAAATCTGGAGAATGTCGACTTTCACCGGTGAATGTCAACAATCGCATAGTCGTTTGATGTATGTCCGAAATATTTTCCAAATGCTCGTATTTCTGACTTACACCTTTAAATGTCGACATTCACCATTATAAGAAAATTATATTATCTTCTCCGTAAATCAGTCGCGAAAAAACGCACTTGAGACTAAAAATAAGAACTTAACATAAGAATTTAAAACACGCAGTACATTCAAAATGAGAAAGACAAATAATATAAGTTAAAAACTTACTAAATTATGTGATTCAAATCTTATTTATTGCAAAAACTTAAAATATTATGTCACTTTGAGCCTTGAGCCTCACAAGAGGCCTTGCTTTTAAAACTGCATTTATACTTCCTTTTGTAAGTACAGCGTGTACATATACTCATCATGTAAGACAGCGTGTACATATACTCATCACTTTTCGACCTAGTACACCAGAGAATATCTGTGATTGTCGACATGCAGCGGTGAGGATCCGAATGTACAACTCGTAGTGCGAGGCAACTCCGGCCTGGCTATTGGCCTTTCAGATTAGTGCCACCCCACACAAAATTCAATCTACAATGTGGCGACCCCACAGAGCAAGGGCAGACAAGGTAGTACCAGTACGGTCCCTGCCGAGCCTTACTCTGTCCCGAGAGCCCTAAGGTCTTCTGTGAAGTCTGTTATTATACTCCCGTGGTTGAAACTGCCTAGGTACAGATCCTAACCAGTACTTCCCAGGCATTTCCAGGTACTATTCGATCTTTCACCGACGTATTTGATAAATATCGACATTCTCCAATTTCAGTCTTTTACGGTAACATGGCCATACAGGGAAAAGGTATAAGATAACAGTTTCATGCAAAATACAAGATGCTGTTACACTGTGTTGCTGGTAAAAGTAGCTGCTACAAGTAATGCTGGAGATACGTTCGATATTCAGGCATCAAAAACAATTGCTGTTGCTAAAATCAAGGATGTCTATTATGATTGCTGGAAAGATGAATGGAACATTTCGGAAAAAAGAAAGATTATTTGTTGAACTTTATAAAAATATGAGAATAATATGTGATTTTGATTACAATCAAATAATTACTGGACACGGGTGCTTCCCATGGTACGTGAAAAGATTTAATTTGCAAAATAATAGTCTTTGAAATTTTTCTAGTGCTGAAGACAATGAATGACATTTCGTCGAAGACTGTGTATCATTGCGACATTTTAAGGGAAAACATAGTAAAATAAAATAATTGTATTGTTGCAGAAAGAGTTTAGATTTGCAAAAGATTTGGTGAACTTCATAAATAACAATAGAACGATATTGGGAATTTTGACTTGATGTTTTTAAGAGTATTTGTGTTTTTATCTGTGTTGAATGTGCTACATTAACCATGAGACTGATTATTAAAAGACAGCCTACACGTTTATTACATTATATTACGCGGATACTGTACATCGATAATGCTGTTATGTTGACACTACACTGATACTCCAACACTGATAACGTACATTGATATTTGAAAACTTTGCACAGATAGTCAAACATTTTACATTGATATTTAGACACTTCATACTAATTTTACTCTGAGACATGCAATGACATCTCTAAATTCCTCACTGCTGCTCATTTACGAACATAAATTGTTCTCGGTGCGTTTTATACGCACACAGGTTTAGACATAGGTTGAGAATGCCCTAATACAAAACATCTATTTTCCACTAATGTATAGGTCGTTGCATGTACAAGTGTTTGAAAGTATGTCGAAGATACAATGAACCATATGTTATGTGACGAAGCTTTCGATCATTTTCTTAATTTCCAGCAAATAACCTAATGACCCTATTATCATAAATAATCCCGTAATTAAGGACAGATGAATAATTCTCCATCGAGCAAGTGGAGACTTAGTGAAAAAGTTTCGTCTAACTTTCGAAAGTACTCAACTATAATATCCTTGTGTAATAAGTTATTTCACACATACATATGGGCTTTCGTGATTACCCGCAAAACATGAAGTTTTGAACCTTAAGTTTAAGACGTTGAGATAATCTGAAATTTTGAAGTTTGCCACCTAAGCTGGGAAGGCGTAGTCGATAAATGATCTTGTTATTGTCGTATGAATGAATGTTTTTCTCCTAATGTCTGAACTAAATCTTCGAATTAATAAAGGCATTATACGGCTATCAATCATAATATCAGCTTATCAACCTTTTCAGTGATCTGCTTAATATGAAGGTCCCAACTAAGGATTTTTGTTGACATTTAACTTCTGTTATATGTTGTACTCACCTCTTGCTAGATTTCTTCATTGAAAAGCACTAGTTTGTCAGTAATAAAAGAAAGACTGTGAATTTTTTGAACAAATTGATTTAAATCAATATTCTACTAAAGGTTTGAAATGTAAAAAAATGGCTGCTTCTTTAGGCTTAGAACCACTTAAAAAAGCTTTTAAATTGTTGATAATTCGATAACTATTGCACGCATATCAATTTATAATTATTTTCTCCCTCCTTCCAATATGCCTTCGTGGTGTAATTGTAGCACACTTAACGTAATCGAGAGGTTCAGGTTCGAGTTCCGAAGAGGATATTGCACATTTTTCACGTCTAGTGCATCGAAAATCGAATGACTCTACAAATTAAAGGCATAAAACCAATAACTGGAACATAAAAACAGCATAATTCAATCACTTTTATTTACCAACATATAAGAAGTGAGCTCACCGAGCCGGGTAACAGAGTGGATATATATATATATATATACATACATATATGTTTGACGCAACCGATATCAAGCAAACGTCAAACGTTCTAATTGGTTGCCTCAAACATACATGCACAACTGAACAACTGCATGTCATAACAGTCCCATATACAAAATTTCGAATTGTCGAGGATACTCGTTTTTGAGTTACGCGAGATACATCTATATGTACGCATGTACTTAACGATGTCACTAAAAAAACTCTTCTGAATCAATTTTAAATAAATTTTGCAATGTGTTCTGGAAAAAGAGTCTTTTATTCTGTCCATACCTACAGATGTCACGCAAAAGCAACGTTCAAATGAATTCGAGAGCATCGAGAATAGATATTTTCATTTAAATATGATACCCGAATTTTAGCTAACAGAAACCTAGTAATGTGGCCTCGAGAGAAAGGAACACGCTCTGCCTTACAGTCCGAAAAACTTCAGCTTAAAATACCTGATTTACATTCTGGTAGGGAAATGGAAAGGAGAATTGATCTAAAGATCTAAATCATAATAACAGGTTAGATTAACATAATGTAAACTTACATTATTTCATCTTGTATTATTTGTATTTGCTTTATAACGTAGCAATTAATAATAATAATAAGTTTAATAAATTGCATTTAGTAACATGTAACTCTATAGTTAATATATATATACGGATGTCATGTTGGAGGCTGCAATCAAAGCACTCATCAAGAATTCCGACAAACTTGTTAATTCAAATTATAAACTTCTAAAAGTATCGTATGCATTAAGAGCTCTTTCATAGTCTGTAGACACTTTTCTGTTCCTGTTATAAACTATGTACAGACACCCTAATCGATATAGTGATTACCGATGTTGGCTGATCTTCCGAGAACCTCCGGGTGGAATGCTGAGAAAGTAAGGATGTTTATATAATGTCTGTGTGCCATGGGAATACTTAAAGCACACTAGCTGGCCGAAAATCTTCTGCAGTGGTTTAGTGGTAAGATAATAGTAATAGAACACATTCGCACTGCCTCCGTGTTTTTTGTAATAACTAGGACGGAGTTGCACAGTTCGTGCGGTGGCACGGTACCAATGGTGAAATTTTATGTCCCGCACAATTGTACCTGTAAACTGCATGAACGTATGCAGTAAAGCTGTCTTTCATTAAGATCTTAACTCATTAATAATTGACATTCAGCTTTATTAAGATGAAATTTTGTATAGAGTTTAAAATGATTGATTTCACTCTGCACACTCTATAAAAGCAGTGCCCAAAACTCGTGAACTTACCCCTAAGATATAAGCCGTGTTGTTCTTGTAATCCTCAGAGATAGAAAACTCCATTAAAGACTTGAAACCATAGCCCATCTTGCGGAAACGAATTAGAGTGTCGATCCAGTCGAAGGAAGTTTCATCCCAGCTTTCACCTTCTACTACCGGCCAGCCACCGAGGTCTCTCAATGCCTTCTTCAAGGGTACACTGTCTGCCTTTTCGATGCTTTCTGTATGCAAAGTATACTAGGTGAATACAGATAGAATAAAATGGTTTTGTCATTAGAGAAATCCAAAATCTTCTTCAATTATGAAGGAAATTTTTAAAATCTTTATTTTAGTTTTAATTTAAAACAAAGATTCTGATGTGTGTTTAACGAAAAACAAATTTAAGAATATTACTTCTAAAAATGTATTTTTTATTTATAAGATGCAAATGGAATTTAGCGAATGAAGTCCATAATAAAAATTCATAAACTATATAATTTTAGGAAAAGTATTCTGATTCTAAAAATCTGATCAAAATTTTCACAGTTTTCCAGATTCGATTTAATTTGATTTATTTCAAAGCATCTGTAGAGGAGAAAGCTTCCTTAACATAAACTACAAAAGGAATACTTTTTTAAGAAAACAAACACAAAAGTAAAAATCTTGTTTAAGAGTTTATAAAAGCATGCTTTTCACTTCAGGAGTTAAAACTGCGTTAAGACTCAAATTTTAGAATCTTGAATTATTTTTCTTCTAATTCATGGGATTCGAATATTTCATCTCTAATTATTACTAATTTTACTATCAGTATAGGATTTCTGGCTATTTTTTATGTTCATCAAATTATTTTAACATATTTTATCAGCCGTAAATCGTAAATATTTTAATGAGGCATTAAATAATTTGTTAAGATTTTTAATTTAAGGAAATTGTCGCATCTAAGATATTTCACAAACCTGGTAAACGAATTGTAGTAGTTCTCTAAAATTTAAGTAATTTTTATTTTTTTCACAAACCGTTGTATTTGTCGTAGCAAATTAAGTTTTTATTTTTAAAATTTGTTTAATTATTTCGTTGCTATCTGAGAACAATAACTAACTATAAGACAGAGGTAAAAGTCTTAAGAAATAAACAAGAATAGTAGCTCTTTGCAAGCTGCTTATAATCGGGTTCCATGCCGTTATAAATCGGTAAATCATTCGTCAAAAACGCGGAAAAGATTTAATATTAACTACAGCGTAGGACGATGGATGTACTTGCTTTAATTCTTCAAACTCTGTCTTTATGATTTGTGCTTGATAAAATTTATGGTATTTTCTTCTCTATCTTCTGATATATACCTTTTCTTTAGATAAGTATTTATATGCATTATTTATATGCATCTTACAGAACAAAGTATCTTAGTTTTGAAACCTCTTTGTTGAATAATAAAGCGAGACCTACTGCCCAGTCTTTCTTTTTCTAATCAGTTTATATAGCGTGAATAAATCGTAAGTTCTAAATCGAATATTTAAATCGAAATTTGAACACAGTATTATTCGAACCCGACAAAATGAATTTACAAACCTGCATGCCAAATACTCACGTATATTTTGAAATGTATTTTTCTTTACTCTTTTCAATTCTTTCCTATGCTTACAAATAAGCTTGAAAATAATATCTATGCCATGCATTACGTAAATTATACTTTTCTTTCTTTGTCAAAGCCAGTTTCATTACCCTTTGGCACTATTCGTTTTACACTTAATGACATCAAATATTAAATAATTTATAATTCTTTCTTGAATTGCATTGGTGCACTAATTTACTCTTGAAAAAGTTGAATTTTGTACAGATTGAACATGGGTTTAAAAATATTCAATTTATACTAATTTCTATTTGTTTAAGTTTCATAGGAGGCTAGTTGAGTAAAAACCGATTAACAGCTGCAACATGATTGGTTTCAGTTTCCGACGAGCGGCGTGGCTGTATTCGAGTTATAGGGATTTTACCCATGTGAAACGCAAATGCAAGCCAGTTTCCTTTAGAAAGTCTTCTACAAAGGCATCTTCTACCTTAGGTAGACATATTTTGCATGCTTTCCTTAAATCCGATAACAAATTGATTAACTATTGCCTTATTCTTGAAAAATTTGCACATAAGAATTTGTGATGAAAAATAAGAAAAATGGACTATTTATTTACGCAATATGCTCCTAGAGATGACTCATTATTGAAAGCTATATCTATTGCCTATTTTTTTTTTAGTAAAAAAGGGCTTTGTTCCTAAAGGACTATTGCTTTCGTTTTGCGATTTTGAGTAGAATCACTCTAAACGGCGTATTACTTTTCAAATTGTTGTCATCAAATGTTAGAGCCCTCCATTATATTAAAAAAATTAAATAATGAAGAACCTGCCTAAATGTAAGTATGTTTATCGCATTTTGATAAAACAACGGTAACTAGAGCCATTAAAATTTTAATAATGTAATCTTCCATAGAATATGGGCATGTGGAAGCCCTAATTTGAATTTGAAATTTGTTTTATTATCGATTTCAGATTTTGTAAAACATTAACGAATTTTTGATTAGCGATTCAGCGATTTAAGAGCGAGCAATGGCAACACTCTACGGGGGTGGAACCTTTTTATCTTCAGCGCGTGGTACTGTGTATAGGAAATTCTAAAGATATGCTCATTTTAAAATTATTTTGTGACATTGCCGTTAAACTGAATTTTATGATTTAAGTGCAAAGATAATAATATGTAAAAATAAAGGATATTTAATAAATAAAGGTAACACACAAAATGTTAAAAATACGCTCCGTTGAACGTAATTTAAAATCTGAAACCTTTCAGATTTTTTTTCAATAATATTATTAGTCCAAAGTGGCTTTATCCCTGAAGGACTATTGTTTTCATTTTGCGATTTTGCGTTCAATCACTATAAACGGTGAATCACTTTTCAAACGTTTCAAATGTTACAATCCTGTTTTACATTTGAAGAAATTAAATAATGAAAAATCTGCATAAATGTATGTATATTTACTGCATTGTGTTGAAACAACGATACATAGGGCCATCGAATTTTGAATGACGTAATCCTCCTACGAATACGGGCATGTGGAAGACCAAATTTGAAATTTGGAATTTGTTTTTATTGATTTCATATTTTGTAAAACGTGAATGAATTTTTGTTTAACAAACTGAAGGATATCAAAGCGAGCCATGCCAACGTTGTACAGAAAAAACATTTTTATCTCCAGCGCACGAGTCTGTATTGGAAACTCCAAAGATACGCTCATTTTAAATCTACGAGTATTTTGCAATTTTGCTCTTGAACTGAAATTTATGATTTAAGTGCGAAGAACGTGATATTTGAAATAAATGTAAGACACAAAATGTTAAAAAAACGCCCCTTTCGACGTATAAAATCTGAAACATTTCAGATTTTTTTTTTTTTTTTTTTAAACTTTTGCTGTTGACTTGCTTTATTTCTGAGTAGCGTTATGTCGTATTTTGCAACGAAAACTGATTTTAGGCTCAACGAGTTTTGCTTTTTTGAATTATGCTATGAGGCTTAAATCAGATAGTGTTGTAATTTTTTTAGCCCATTTATTATTATTTTTTATTTTTGGCATTTAATTTGTATCTGGTGAATTTAATCTTATAGAAAACATGTTGTGAACAAAAGAGTGTAACTGTATTATATTATATAAAGCTTATGCACCGTGAAATTTTTCTTAATTGACCACAAACGGCTCCAGCACTGGATTAAACGGCGGGATACACGAGCTGCTGCTTAAATTCAACAAGATTTAACTACATTTCCCGTTCTTAGGTTAATACTGTATTAAAATACTCCAAAGATGGCTTCTGCGGGAAGTAGGAAAATACCTTCAACTAGCAGTAGACGGTTTCAGTTGAGACTTCGGGCCTTCAACTAGCACTAATCTGTTCCAGTTGAGGAAACGGTTTCAATATTTGCAGGATAACTCAGGTTTTCCTGTCCTTGCAATATACAGAAAAAGAGGTAGAATGTGTACCATAGTTACAGCTAAGATTATTATATGTCAAAAATTTCCAACCATAATTTCACACTGTGCAGAATTTTGCATCAAGGAAAACAGTATAAAGCGTTGGCCCAGAGTGTGTAGAATAGAAAACACAAACGGAGTGATTTTAAAACAGAGATAGTGGTGCAGAGGGCAAGAGATAACGGTCAAGCAAGAAATTGTTATTATACACCTTGTTTTTGCATGTAGCGAGTGCGTATCACTCAGAGGTATTCTGGAAAGTGACAGCTATATATTTCTCACCTTCACGTTCCCAAGGTCGTTATTAGTTGTTCAAATTATTTCATGACGATTCTGTAGGTCAGGGGTTCCCAACGAGGATTCCCTTTGGGTTCGAATAAATTTTAAGTGGGATCAATGATAACTGAGGGATCGAATAAGGGATGACAGGCAAATATCCGCCGGCAGTATGTCGTAGTAATCAATATTACATTGATCGCAAAATATTATTAAAAATTATAACTATAATTATAATTTTAATAATATATTTTTAATAATTATAATTATAATTGCATATTTATATAAAGGTACATCATGTAGTAAATCACATAAAATAATTATAAGTAAAAATGTATTAGGATTGTTTAATAGATTTTAAAAATCAATAATACTTTCTTTAATATTCAATTTTTATGCAATGACTGCAATATAAAAAAGTCTAAATGACTTGTTTATATCGACACTGAATTGAAACTCTTCTTATGTTTTTATGACTTGTGACTGTCCGTTACCAAAAAGGAATCTACTTCCTCAGAAGATATATTGTTATAGATAAGCCCCTTGCAGAATTATGGCTTATATAACTGCTGAACTGATATATATCTGGTCTTGATAATGTGAATCAAGAAGGTTTAGGGTTGTTCAGTTATTTCAAAGCATTCTAGACCTACCTGCCGAAAAAACGGGTTGCCTACGTAGAGGGCGTTCTATGGGGAACCTGGTTCGTATGCACGTTACACATGAGGAAAACTAAGAAAATGCCCATGTAGGCAGTCCGTTCGCCGGAATTCGAACCTTGAACGGAACTACCTGTATTCAGTGCTCGGCCGCTGACGGGCCTAAAATGTAAGAAGTGTTGATTTAATTAAAGGAAGATTTTCAAGCACGAGACTCATTCAACACATGAGTCCGCTAACCTTATATCTAGAGCAGGGATCCCCAACATTTATTTTCTCTACAATATGCAACCTAAGACATAATCAAAGTACAAATAATTGCAACTAAATAATTTAAAGATAACAATTTGTCAGGTTCCTCCAGCTCCTTACATTTTTCTCTGTAATATGCTGCCAAAACGTAGTCAAAGGAAAAGTAATTGCATGCTAATAATTTAAAGGTAACAATTTGGCAGAGATTATGAACGAAAGTTTTGAAAAGAAGAGGCACATAAGATCTGCGTTATATTACTTTGAGTGTTATGTTTACAAATACAAACACGTTTTCAGAAACAAAATCACAGATTTTAATTCAGAAGCATTTGAATTTAATTAATGTGAACATTGCACTTAATGTATTGACTTGGGTTTCAAAGGCATTTGAGAGAAATATTCCAAAATAAAAGGGTAGGGTACGAACTGCGCGAAATTTGATTGGAGATCCCCCCCTCTTATCTAATATACCTCTTATCTAATATGCGACTTTTTCCTGTCCCCTCTTTCTAACAACTTGAATTCCCAAGAAGATTGGGCGCTATAATTTAGAAGTCATTTATCGCCATTAATGGGGCATTTTATTGAGACTGAAAGCCTCTATTTTCGTTTATCAATATTGAAAAAAAGTTGTACATACAAGACAAATATTAATTTAAAGGCTGGCGTTTGCTTTAAAGGTCTGGCGTAAGTAAAAATGAATTTCTTTTACACTCATTTTGAAGTTTTATGATGCTTAAAAGAATGATCAGCCAGATCTTTTAATTCTCTGTAAGATTAAAAACTTTCCAAGTTGTAGATTTTAGACGCTGATATATATACATCAGTTTTGAATAATAAAACTGATAGCTTAACGACATGCACAAAACTGATACATAATCAATCTATCAAATATCGGATTCGTAGCGCACCTTAAAAAGTTTCTTGTCTAGATAAATATTAAAAAATTTTCTTAGATAGCAGAATAGTTTTAACGTTCAAATTTTCCATGTTAGGTAAACAGTCCTAATTTAATTTAAATAATTATCTTTATTAAATCTAAAAATTGAATTTCTTAAGTGAATCTAAATTCCCACTAATATTATTGCAATATATTGCCGTATTAAGCTTTCCATTTTCAGTCATTGAAGTAATTTTAAGGTTATTTAACTGTATTATAAAAGCCCATATTTTAACACTAGAAACGTTTAAACATTTATTATGTTTTCCAGTTACTCTACCTGATGTACTTTGGCATATATTTAATTTCTAATATATCTGTAATTAATAAATTGATAATTATGAGCGTCTGCAGAATTTTCATAATTAACAAAAGAAATTGAACTCCCTTACATTCAGATCTTGGAATTTTCAATTCCCTTTTTACCCATTCCTTTTTCACATATTGTTGCACTGTATTCAACTTTTCATGTATGTAGAATTTATATAATTTGTATTGTATTTATGTCAATTTATATTTAAATAATCATTTTTACAAATTTTTGCATCATAGCTCTAATTAAGAGAAGATATTTCCAACACCTTGGTAACGTTTAATCTTCAGCATGCAGCTTATTTTCTTCTATCCTAGTTTCAGGCTGAATTTTTTGTAAAATTAATTATTTGAAATTATTTGTTAACAAAGATGGTCGCTAAATCACGCTAATAATTTTTCTAACTGTTGTAATTTATAATGCAACAAGTCCATGTGATTTATAATAGAATTTACTCGTATTTATAATTTTTTCAGCAGTATTGAAATTAATAGCAGATATTCATAATGTTATACATTTAGATTACAATGATTTAGTTTGCCATTGCCTTCTTCACTGGTGCTTTTATGCTGCAATCCTAATATTTCATATTGGCATCCAGATAAGTTTAACTCAGTCACCAAACATGTAAATCTGTAATTCAGCCCACTTTTATTCTTAAGTGTGATGTATCTTCTATTTTCTTTAATATATTGTTCAGCTTAATATCAGAAAGTCTTATGATCAAGCAGAAAAATCACTAACCATTGGTAATTCGACCTCAGTTTCTAATCCCAGAGATCCCCCAGCTCTTTCTTTTTTTGTACCTATTTACTGTGTAAAAATGTATTGCAAAAATTTCAGTTCATGAAGCAAAACTATTTTTTTAATTTATTCTTTAAAAATACTGCAAAAATTTTAGCCTTTATCTTAGCATATCTTTTTTCAAATCCCTGTAATAAGAAAAAATAAGAAAAGAAATTAACTCAGATTCGATGATTGATACAACTGTCCAAATTATATGCAACCTTTTCCAAAAGACTTCCATAGAATTTAGTATATAGATATTAATAAATTAAGGATTATTTCTCCATCTAATTTTCTTAACATTTTTGTTCCAGAATTTTCTTTTCACACTGTAGCGCCTAACTTTATGAGTTACTTATAATTATTCAATTTCTGTAACTATGGTAACTTTGGATACCTTCTGACAATTAGTTATATTTTTAACCACTGTATTTTAATTACTGTTGACTATCAGTACATTATTCCCTTGTTTCACAAGTGCAAATATTTATTTTATACGCAAATCTGCGTAAAATAGCAATAAAACTTCAGTTATGCGGAGCTACTGATCCACTGCGTGTTTTAGATTGAATGAAATTAAGCTTAAAGTTACTGTTAATTAGCTTGTTATTAATTTAATTGTACATTTCTGATCAATTATATGTTCAGATATTTCCAAGTATATTACACAAACTTTTGCATCCCAATTTTTTGTTTTTGGTTAAAAAGATAAGCTTTTATTTATTGAGAAGCTTGATTGATTATATTAATTTGCAGTAATGTTTATCTAAGTCTTTTCTTCTAGATAAATTTTAGAAAAAACTTCTTAGCATAATAATTTAAATTTATTTACAATTTATACTTTAGTGTTCCAAACGCACAGTAATGTAGTTATAATAGATTTCATGCTAAGCTTTTTTTTTTTGAACTTAACTGTTAATTTCTGCACACATTTACATGATTACTTTAATTAACGAAACATATTTTTAGCACACTTTAACACACTTTGATTCGGAATAATCTTTTGCACCCCAGTGAACTATAATAAATTTTCCAGTCTAGTTCAGATATCTTGACTATTATTGATGTAATTTTAAAAAAATATAATTGGTATGCTTTATAATTATATAATTTATGATATTATTATAATACTCTTTGCTCTAATACTGTAATTAATGAAAGATGTTTGTAATGCTAATATGTATGTTTATTAATACCTTTTATTTTCTCTGTTAGCTCTTGCAATTTTACTGTTATTCAAGTAATTAGCCTGCTTGTTAGATATTTCTTTTTTCCTTTTTCTTGTGATTTTGATTTGTAATTCTATTTCGTTATTTTTATTTTCCTCTTGGCTAAAATTGGCTTCGAAAAGTTAAACTGTAATCCTGTAGGCGACGGGGAAAAGAAATTTTGATTCGCGCAGTCGGACTATAGCAGGACGGGGGTAGGATTTTTATTCGCGCAGTTGGAAGCCTACCCCAATAAAAGTTGTTAATGTATTATTGACTTTCTGTTTTCATGCCCTGTGAAAATAGGTTTTAGACAATTTAGTACGAAAAGAAGAAATGGTTTGAATGTTCTTTAATGCATTAATTTAAAAATGGGATTAGCAATTTAACGAAAAATCTTTAAAAATCTGCATCAATACATTAAGTGCAATGATCACATTAATTAAATTAAAACACTTGTAAATTAAAATCTGTGAATTTGTTTCTGAAAACTTGTTTGTATTTGTAAACACAATGCAAAAAGTAATATAACCCGGATCTTATTTACCTCTTCTTTTCAAAACTTTGGCTCATAATATCTGCCAAATTGTTAACTTTATATTATTGATATGCAATTATTTTTACTTTAAATACGTTTTAGGCAGCATATTACAGAGGAAAATGTAAGGAGCTGGAGGATAAAAGCCATTCGTTTAAAAGGGTTCTGACAAATTGTTACCTTTAAATTATTTAGTTGCAATTATTTGTACTTTGATTATGTCTTAGGTTGCATAATATAGAGAAAATAAATGTTGGGGATCCTTGTTCTAGATATTCGACAGTTAACTAAATAGATATGTTCGTGTGGGCGGCAGTAAGAGACAGAGTGTATATGAATAAAATTTATATCGTTTCGAATGTTCGCCTAAATGTTCTTCCAGTCTGGATTATAAGTACGAATGACCCAACTCTACTCCTTTCCAAAAATTGAGAAGTTCGACATCTTTTATGTATGAATAAACAAATAAAGCAAATAACATAAGGATAATTTCACAGTGAATCTTACTTAAATCCATGCAACTGTCGTATACAGATTTTAACATCCGGATGAAATCAGGTTCGGTTCCTGTCAACTCTTTTTCTAAGAGAGCTAGAAATAAAAACAAATGAGTTTAATGTAAGTGAAAATAATCTTAATATTTGAAGGAATCTGTAAATGTTCAGCCTCTTTCTTAATGTGTTAATCAGAATGATTGTTAAATTTGAATATAACTTACGCAAATTGTGAAATGTACGTAAAAATAAGAATTTTTGTTTACAATTCTTGTAAAACAATATTCATCAGAATCAATAAGGTTATTTTAGAAATTTTAAACTTTTAAAATTAATTTGCTTTAGAAGGTCTCAAAAACTCTTCCGTTAAAGTAACTATTTCAATAATTATGTAATGTTACATTCAATCTAATGCTTACAGAAGAATTTACTTAATAAACCTATTGATTAAATGTTTTCCGGTACTTTGAAGTTAGGCATTGCGATGTAACCCTTAAGGTTTTATTTGAGTTACAAATCTAGGCATACGCTGCCCATTCCATTTGTGTTTGAAATGATGTTCCCAGTCACAAACATTACGGCAAATTATCATTCAAATTGCCAACCGTAATTAAGTGACTTTTTAAATTACAGAAATTTAAAAGCAAAATTTAATTAATTACATAAATTACTTGCTACATGAAAAACTATGACATGAATAAGTAAACCTTAACATTGACATGATCGACACTGCGTATGATCGAAGAACTGTGTAGCATCGACATCGCACAGATCGATATCGGCATACCAGTGAAACTATACAGGTTCTTTATAAATGAATGGTGCATATTTAAAAATGAATGATAATTCGATGTATTACCCTGATACTTTACCCGTGTAAAACCTACACCGTAAGATTTGGCAACTGCCCAAGTTTCTCATGTGCTGTCTGCTGTTTGCTTGTCATGATTACTGTGCAGCCGCAGTGTCAACCCATCAGGAAAAGACACTCTGTGTGCTCAGTTTTGAGGTGTCCAGATCTGTGATTTCAGTGCAGCGTGAGTTTCGTGCCCGTTTTCTGTGTGGAGTTTCTCGAGAAAACGCCCTGTTCATTTTTTCTTCGAACAAGAAACTGTGATCCGTGACTCATTTCTAGACATGTTGGAAACCTAGTTGCTACCCTAGACGAACACGAATTATGATAATTACATTTTACAAATGGACATTGCTCTACCATTTTCACAGGAATGTATGGGAGCTCCTTATTCGTGTTCTTCCCAGTGCTAGACTGTATGTGCTGCAGCACTAGACAACAATCTTGTCCCCTGAGCACCTCGTTCGCTAGATTAACGCCATGCGATTTCTTTCCTTGTGGATTTGTTAAATAAATAAATGTTGTTGTAAAGAGTTCACAATTTAAATATACTCGGAAATGACTCAGTAATTCTAACTGGAGCGTCAAAATCAAGGTAACGTTATAATGGTATAATGCAAATATATTATTATTATTTGCATTATACCATTATACCGTTACATTTGCATTATACCGTTGCCGGTATAATGTCGGCTACGGTATTATGCAAAGCTGAATAATTACAACTATGAAATCTGGCAGAATTAAAGTAATGTGCACGCGAGTGATAGAAATAATTTTCTGTCTTAATAATATTAAAAACACTTGCGAACTCATCTACATTATGCTGAGGTGTGTGTGTGTGTATGATTATGGCAAAGCCTCGAGGGCTATCTGCCTAAGGGGAGGGATGCCTTCGTGGAGGACTTTCTAAGGGAAACTGGCTCGTATACACGTTACACATGGGGAAAACCACGAAAACGCCCATGCAGCCAGCCCGTTCGCGGGATTCGAACCTCGGACCGAACTACCAGTGTTCAGCGACTTTATCGCTCGGCCGCTGGTGGGCCATTATGCTGAGGAAACGGAAAGAAGTTATAGCAAAGGCTGAAATTAAAAATAACTGCTTAAATAATAATCTTATTTATGACTAAATTTTGAAATCCATTATATTCCTTTTAACATAGTTCCTATTTTATAAAGATTGTAAAACTAATCAAATTATATATTCGACTAACAAGTGTGTACGATTTATAAGAAACATTTCAATTGCAATTAAAAATTCAAACGAAAACTACTAAAGTACTTAAGAGAACTTGATAATTAACATTTACCGAGCCAGACAGACGAGATGTCTTTTTTGCATACGTCTTAAGTCTTTCCGCTCGAAAACAAGTATTAAATATGTTGTTAATTTCTTTAAATTTCTTTGCTTATAATTAATTATTTTTATTACACAAGCTAGACGTCAAGAAACAAAACAAAGTATCTTTGTATTTCTTGTATTAAACATTTAATTATTTTAAACACGAAATAAATCGTGAAACTGACATAAGCGTCGAAAATAAAACTGAGGAACATTTTATTTACTATCATCTCGTATTGAGAAATGTCGCTATATGTATCTTTGAAGTTAAGCATACCTCTTCAAGAAAGAAAATTAAGTTACATTAATAAGAAGTTAAAATTGTTAAATTTTTACATCTAACAGAAATTAGTCATCTAATGGTCTGTTACCATGCAGGCAATGCCATTGCAAAGGCAAAAATCCGTCGAACAAATATATCATACTTAACTATATTTTAACGTAAGAATTGCACATCAGGCGAAGTATTCTTACAAATGACTAAATGAAGAAATCAGTTCTGCACGCAGCTTTCCAACTTTTTTAAATGAATAAAAATTTTGTAAATAGTGCATGTATATAAAATTATTTGTAAATAGAACTTTTGTTGAAAAAAGAGGATTTTATTTTAAATATAATTAGTATAATCTTTATTTTTGGAGATATTAGTGCGCGATCAGCCTATAAAGGTGCTTTTCCTATAGATTCCAGCATAGAATTTCTTTGTAATAGGAAACGTACTTCAAAACTGAATTTGTAAGAAGACCGTTACAAATATTTGGCTAGAATCGCGCTACATCGAAGTTAATCATAATCAAAAATCAGTTATCCTATAAATAGTTTTCATGCAAAAAATTTCAAGAAAAAAACCAGAATTAAATGCATATAAAAACGGCTTAAATAACATATTTTTAATCATTTAGTGTATCCTTGAAAATATATTCTAGTTTACTTTAAGTAAGATGAAACTGTTTTGCTTGAATTTAGAACAATCAAAATTATTTCTGTTTATTTTATTAATAGCATATAAGTTTAATGGTTGTACAAAGAAACAGTATTTGAATATATGTTATATATATTTTATTGGCTAAGAAACATTTTTACAAACGCGACATTTCTCATAAAATAGGTCTTTTGCATTTTAGCACAGAATTTGATACGTTTCCTCTATTCTCGGAAGCTATTCAAAGTTTCATTCTTGTTGTACGTATCCAAAAGATATTTTACTGTACTTTTATTTACAATTTATTTACAAGTCGTATGCCACCTGGCATATTTACAAGCGTTATGCCTCCTGGCATGTACATGATAGATATATTCTGCCACCTGGCATGTGAATTGATACATCATACTAGTTTTCTGCCACCTGACAGATACGATGCAATTACCTCGATTAGCGGTAATACGCCCGACATTTTGGCGTGTCCGCTTCCCTTACGTTCTGTAACGCAACTAACTTTTTCTGCGGTGCGCCCTCTGGGCACAAAAAATCACCGCAATCACCGAGGAGGCCAAAACATCCTCCCCCCCCCGATGAATTACATTCATCTTAATACAATCTTCAATATATGCAAACAAGTAAATGAAAAATATAGAAACTGAAAACATACAAAAACCTTCAAAAAGTATAAAATTACATGTTACACTTACCAATCTTCTAGCAAAACATCTTATATCTTAATATATTGAAACGTTAACTATGAGGGTTAAACTAGAACAAACAAATAAAATTATTAGTACAATAAGAAATGAAAATAATAATAAAACATATTCAATATAAACCAAACGCTTAAGTTAATGTTCTTCAACTGGTAAAAGACACAGTTTGGTAATAGGACGTTTAATGTCCCCGTGCACAGTTTTTAGTCTAACCACTCGGACATTATTGTCTCTTCCAGGAAACACTTCTATTACTCGCCCGAGTTTCCAACGTAATGAAGGCATATTATCTTCTTTAATGAGAACCAAGTCATTTAGACGAATATTTCTGCTAGGCTGTCTCCATTTGCTACGCTGCTGTAGTTGGCACAGGTACTCTTTAGACCACCGCTTCCAAAACCCTTGGAACATCTGCTGTGTTAGTTGCCATCTTTGCAATGGAGACACTCGTACTTCGGTTAAATCTTGTTCCGGAACAGCTGTTAAAGAAGTCCCTATAATAAAGTGTCCAGGAGTCAAAGCTGTCAAATCATTGGGATCACTGGAGACCGGTGTTATTGGCCTCGAATTTAAGCATGCTTCAATTTGTGCAATTAGAGTTAGAAACTCTTCATAAGTCAAAATTTGAGTTCCAACACATTTCTTTAGATGCAGCTTCATAGATCTAACAGCTGCCTCCCATATACCACCATGATGTGGAGCAGCTGGCCGATTGAATATCCACCTTATGTTTTCATTTGCTAACCACCTTTGAAATTCTGAAGCCTTCCGTAACTCATAGGCGGTAAGCACACCAGATTGCTTTTCACGAGCGGATTTACAGTTGTTCACGAAGCTCAGAACATAAGCCATTATTCCCAGTACTTTGTTTAAATTTCCGTACAGTTCAAGATTTAGTAACGGTTCTGTAGATTCCACAAGTGTTTTCAAAGTAACACATTTACGTTCTTCACTAACGTTTTGCAAGTCAGCTTCGGTATTCATTTCGTTTATGTGATGTCGAATATCTACTTCTGAAAGCCAGGGTGGCCCAGAAAACCAATCACTATCATTAATTAGAGCTTCAGCATCCATCCCCCTCGTAAGTTTATCAGCAGGGTTTGTCTTCCCACTGCAAAAGTACCAGTTGTTTAAAATTGTTTTCTCCTTGATTTCTACCACACGATTTCTAACAAATTGTTTCCACTCGTTGGCAGATCCCTTGATCCAGTGAATGCAAATTTGGGAATCAGTCCAGTAAAATATATTTCCCTTATCCAACTGCGGAAATATCGATTGCAAATACGAACCTAATCTTGCAGAAATTAATGTTCCCAAAAGTTCAAGCCTAGGGAGTGTTACCCTTTTTAATGGAGCCAAACGGGATTTCGACACTATGAAACTTGTTTTACATTTATTTTTCTTCTTAAATCTAAAATATGCTACGGCACCATAACACTTGGGACTGGCATCAGAAAATATGTGAACTTCTATAAACTTCCAACACATATCACTGAAGTACTGTCTGGGAATTTCGAAAAACTTTATTTTTTCAACTTCTTTTAACCATTCCTGAAATATGAATTCTGTATCAAGGGGAACACTTTCGTCCCATTGAATACCCTTTTCCCACATAGTTTGCATTAAGAGTTTAATTCGAACAGTAAATGGATTCATAATTCCTAAGGGATCAAAGAGCATACCACATGCTGCTAAAATGATGCGTTTAGTTACTTTGAGATTTTGTAACTTCTCAAACTGAGATACATCTATTTTCAAATTATCATTGACATTGTCCCAGATAAGACCTAAAACTTTCAACGGTACCAAAGAGTCTTCAGATGTTTCACGAGAGTCAATTCCATTAAGTTTCCATAGTTCATTCAGCTCAGGTGAGTTTGAAACCCATCTACGTAAATTCATACTGGCCTCGCTAAGAATGAAAATCATGTCCTTGCTTAAATGTAAGGCCTTTGCTACATTAACTGTCCCAGAAATTAAATCATCTACGTAAAGCTCTTTTAACATACTGCATGCCTCTTCGTAGGCATCTTCATACTTTTTTTTAAATGCAGTCTTACTGTAGCTGTTAATAAATAAGGTGAGCACTTGACCCCCGAAAGGAACTCGATTGTGTTGAAGAACTTGTAAGTTGGGAATTACTGTGATCGAGATTTGACCCTTCTTCATTTATCCACAAAAACTTTAAAAAAATCCCTATCTTCTTTAGCTAAGCCTACCTCTAAAAATGCACGCTGAATGTCGGCACAAAACGCAATTGAATGTACCCTGAATTTAATGATAATCTTTAGCAAATCAGGATTTAAATTAGGTCCGCTTTCCAAACAATCATTAAGTGATAAATTTCCCTTACTTTTAGAAGAAGCGTCAAAAACTATTCGAACCTTTGTAGAATCCTTCTGCTCGCGCACTACCGCGTGATGAGGCATGTAATACCCCGTTTTCAAACTACTATTTAAATACGTATCTACCCGTTCCACTATACCATCTCTCAAGTGTTCATTAATTATCTCATTATATTTTAAATATAGCTCGCTATTTTTCTGAAACTTATTATTTAAAAATTGTAAACGCTGTTTCGCGATTTCATAATTGTTATTTAAACCTTCAACACCCTCTTTCCACAATAATCGAGTTTCATACCTTTTATTCTTGTAAGTTGTATTTCGTTCAAATGACTCTAAAATTTCTTTATCTGATAGAGATATTTCTTTATCCGAACTTATCCCAATTGCTTCTAATTCCCATAATTTTTTAACTCTTTCATAATCTAAGTCCTCATTTACAACGGTTATATGATTAACTCTTGCGTCCTTACACTTTGATCCTTCGTCCTTGCCTTGAATCACAAAACCGAAAGTGCTTTCTGTTGCGACTAATTTTTTACAAATCTTCACGTTTCGTTCTCCTAAAATTTCCCAAATATAATCCGAACCTATTAATACTTGAATTTCGTCACTCGTACCAGCATCTGCTAATTCTATTCCCTTCTCAAACGCCATCTTTCGTATCCACCGAGAAGGAACTTTTACTTGCCCTAGTGTTATAGAATCAATGACTATTGCGTTAATTTTTATCTTTTTACTGGGATGGCTTACATTTTGCAATACGATTTCTACGATATCATACAAGCGCTCTTTTGCATCTTTGCATCCAAATGTGAAAATAATAAGCGCTTCTTTATTAATAATTTTCAACCCCAGTGAATCAACCACTTCTCGTAAGATGAATGACTTTGTTGACCCTGAATCTAGCATACAACGTAATACCTTTTCGTTCCCCCTTTACACCTAACTGTTGCCGAAAACGTCTGTAAAAGAACGGAAGTCGGTGGTTTAATTTTGTTATTATTTTCATTACATAAGAGCGAAAGAGAAGCTTCAGGGATTGGCGTTTGTTTTGTCTGATTGGAAGTATCCGTCTCTAAATCTTTCGATGCGGCGTCACATATTAACGAATTATGTAAACCTTGGACATTGCACAGTCTGCATTTTTCATCTTTATGAGCACAGAAACGCCTTGGATGCCCTTTCGAAAAGCAAATAAAACATAAACCTCGATCCATTAATGCCTTTCGGCGAGCCTTTAAATCAAGTGCGCAATCATGATTCATATGACAAGCAGATAAACAAAATATGCAGACATTTTGATTCTCTTTCTTAGGCGGGGTAGAGAACTTTCGATTTGGATTAAAATGTGAATTTTTGAAAGTATTTAGAGGGAGTTTCGCTTTGACTAGTTAATACCGAAGCACCTTGCTTATTCGTACTGTAATCATTTCTTTTAGAATGCATGTAAGATTTATTTTGATAACCTTGATGGGAACTTTTGTTTCGTATTGATGTTTCATTTACATCAAAATTCTTAGAACGCGCTAACATCATTGATGTTTCCCTACATTCCACTTCCGTTTTCAAGAACGTTAGTAGTTCATTAACATCGAAATTTTGTTTATCACTTCTTTTCCTAGTGAATTCTAGAGTTAAATTCTCGGGTATTAACTTTAACAAAATAGGGGATAATAAATGTCCATAAGAACCACTAGTAACATTTAAAGAATTTAAATTCCTTATTTGTATTTCTATATCGTCATAAAGCTTCCTCAAAGAAGCCGTATTTCCGGAATATTTTACAGGTTCTAAACTCAACAATTTATTCATATGCGCATTAATTAGCAGGTCATCTCTGCCGAAACGGTTTTTTAGTATATCAACAGCCACCGTATAGTTTTCACTAGTAAATGTTAATCCACTAATAGCATTTAAAGCTAAACCTCCCAAAAGCGATTTTAAATAACAAAACTTGTCAACCGAACTGAGACTTTCGTTTTGGTGAATGGAATTACTAAACTGATTCCAGAATTCAAGCCAAGAACAAGGATCACCGTAATATTTTGTAATCGTTAATTTTGGCAATTTTAAAGTATTAACTTCACAAGTTTTCAACTTCGGAGATATAGTTTCCTCACTAGAATTTCTAGATTCAACTTTACACGCGTTTTTTTCTTAATTTTTCCTGAATTTTACATTTAAAACTTATAATTCTTTCCTGATATTCCTGCGCGGAAATTACTTCTGTTTCCAACTCCTGTTCCGTAATTATAAGTTTTTCAATCTCAGAATCGTATTGTTTCAACAACTGCGATTTTTCAAGTAACATTTCGAGTAATTCTTTTAATTTCTCATCCGCGGTTTCACCCTCTTCTAACAATGCAGAATCTATTTTACTCATCAACTTGGTAGTTAAGTTACGCGTCACCGTACGCAACTTCTTTGCCTTATTCATAGCCTCCATTTTACCATTAGATTCTATCAACTATAATAATCACCAAGATTTTTATTCAACAATTCTATTCAAAACTGGAAAAATGAAAAAGGGCCTACCTCGAATTTCTTCGCGTTAAATCCTGGCTTTTCAGTCATGAACTCACTAATTTTCTTCGTCCATTCTTCATCTCCACAAATCAAGTCCGGTGTCACCAGAAAAAATGTACGTATCCAAATGATCAGAAGGTTGTTGATGCGTGTTCCTTGATCTATTGCACCAAGATATTTTACTGTACTTTTATTTACAATTTATTTACAAGTCGTATGCCACCTGGCATATTTACAAGCGTTATGCCTCCTGGCATGTACATGATAGATATATTCTGCCACCTGGCATGTGAATTGATACATCATACTAGTTTTCTGCCACCTGACAGATACGATGCAATTACCTCGATTAGCGGTAATACGCCCGACATTTTGGCGTGTCCGCTTCCCTTACGTTCTGTAACGCAACTAACTTTTTCTGCGGTGCGCCCTCTGGGCACAAATCACCGCAATCACCGAGGAGGCCAAAACACTTGTATTAGGTTTCCTTATCTGCTTATTTATTATGCCTGTTAACAAACAATCTGAGAAAATTTTAATGTTTACTTACACTTGAGTTTTAAATCCAGATCATCTTGAAGTCCGGACATTGTGGAAACCGCGGATTGGTCTTCGGGAATTTCATGACTTTTCAGCCATCCACCGCAAGCAAACTGATAAAAGTCGCTACAAGGATCTACGGATTCGTCCAAACTAGACAAGATATCAGCAGCTGAAAGGGAAACAAAAATTCTTCAGTTGCACAAAGATATTTCAACTTGTTTATATTAACTGCTGTTTGAATTTCTAAAATATATAATACAAAGCTTTAGAGTTTATTATTTTCAGAGTTTAAATATTAAATGAAGGCAATCGCAAAGCAAAGGACCTTAGCTCACAGATCAAGGTCAGTAGACAAACAAGATTATGCTCTTCTCAGCTCTGACGTCACTTACTTGAAGAAGTGGAAGAAACGAAGACACAGAGGGTGTAAGAAGCAGTTATTTTGAACAATATAAGCATCATTGGCATTTTTCAATAACATATTTTGTAATTTAGTATGTTTAATATGTAGTTTATAATTTAGTTTAATATAGTATATAATAAATATTAATTTTTAATCATCTTTAGATAAATTTAAAATCATAATATGCATTTTTAAAATTGAAAATATTTTGCTTACATTTGAATAGTTAATTTTCTTGTTAAATATAAAACATTAAGTTTGTATATGATTAATACTCGAAAATATTAAAACAAACACCTTCAATTATACAAAGGAAAGAATCTTCAGTTTAGAGGAATGTTATTTCTAGTATAATCCATTGGGAGGGGGAGGAATTCTATGGTATTTAAAAGAAAAAAGAACGGTTAACGGCGTCAGTGGTGAGCACGAAAAAGTCGCAAGTAGAAGAAACTAAGAGCGAGATTAAAATGGGACTACTAACATTTAATTCTGAATCGAAAGTTAACGATATACTTTGCATTAAAAAGAAATATCTGAAAATGTTCATACTTAAGTAATTGCATTGAGTTGAAGATTAAAGATCAAAAGAAAAAAATAATAGCTGATTGAAAACCCATTTGAAATTTCACGAAACTCCTTTGGGCATTTGTGCAAATGAATAAATTGAAATTTTTATCCTGGAAAGGACCAATCGAAACAAAAGTAAATTCATAGAAAACTTTGAGGGAGCCCTGTTTTTGATTACGTCTTCACCAAACGTTTAATATTTATTAGGTCAATATTTTATATACATAGCTGATATATTTTTCATAATTTCAGGTTCGTCTTGTAGGAAATGTGTTGGTTTCATAGACAGTTTCATTGCTGGGAATAAGAAGCAATTCAAGAGAGAAAAGCTCTTAAAAATAATTGCATTCTCAGTTGATTAAAATGCTGCATCTCCAAATAACGATATCATTGCACTAACCGCTGCACCATAAAATGAATTCATGTAATTCCTTTCAGTTTCACGAAGATGAATGAACATTTCTGAGTTTTTGGTTGAAGCTAGAATTTTTACACACTATAGGGTTTCTATAAAGACTCAATATGTTTTGGTTCAGCAAGACAACGTTGTTGAATTAATTGTATAACATAATTTAATGCATTTCATTCTGATTAAATTTTATTTCAGTTAAAATGTACTACTTTTCCTACGGCACTGCATGTTAAGTTTAGTTGGGCAGACGCGGTTAGGTTTGTAAGTAATCTTTCTGAAAATTATGTTCGTCTGCCTGAATGTTAGTAAAAGAGAATCTGAGTGCAGAATGGACCAGTTACATAGACTATTCGTACATTTTAAGCGATTTTACTGTGCCATAAAATAATCGTCTGCTTGGAATTTTTTCCTTTCCAACTATATTTTTAAAAGTGCCCCTACTTGCAATTATCGCCCGCTACTTGCAATTTCGTTCTCATGCAAAATTGCGTTTTTAAGCACTGTGTTCTTTCCGAAAAAAATTATTGGTATAAAACTATTAAAAAGATGTGAGAATGACATGATTTTTCAGTATCTGAAGTAGCGATATATAATATTGTTTAATTGGAAAGAAAACAGACGTTAAAACTTGGCTTCAAGGAGTAAACTGTTCAAAATACCTATTCAGGGAAAAAACGAAATGTTTCGAATGCTGTAAAGTAGGAACTTTAATGTTAAAAGAAAATCTCTAATGTTAAAGGACAGTTACATAATCTCTAAAATGCTCAAAGCGAACTGTAAACAAAATTATTATTGCTGATTTGAATCATAAAAAGACGAATAAACCTAATGTGCATCATCTTTCTACATGACATATCGCCGAAAGCGGAACGTGTTTCCGAACTCTCTATAAAAAACAATTTTTATACACAATTTTATTTTCTATAGTCACAATAGATGAATATTGAGTATATTTAAATGATCGCAATGAGAAACGATTCATTTATTATTACCAAAGAGAAGAAAATATTCTTAAAAATGGTTAAAAGGATCTACAGAAAGGTTTCAAGAGGGATTTGTGATAATTGATGTTTTTTTGATATAATGGCAAATAAAAATTCAAGCGAACGTAGAAAACTGTTAAGGTCAACTCCATATATTATCAGGACCATATTACCCAATTTTCAAATATGAAACACCTTCTCTTTACCCACTATATCATCGACCAGTAGAACTGCATCAAGACAAAATAAGCAGCCGAGCGTCAAAATCCACTATTAATTTTCTGGAAAAAATGGAACAAGAAACGAGTAATAAGGCCCTTCACTTATATACCTACTAAATCTCTTCATGTGTAACCCATGAAGTTTTATGCTTTTGGACTTTTTAAAAAAAGGTGATTGACCAAAATATCTCTAGACATTGGAAACATAAGAAACACAGCTTAGGAAGTTGTTCAAGAAAAATGTTATAAAGTACCTCTTTCGATACTAAAAAAAAAAGCTTTATTGTTTTGGATAGTACACTGTAGAAACATAGTGAAGAATGAGGGTTATGAAATGGAACATTTAATAGACAAACGTTTTAGGTAAAACATTGCTGTAAATACAATGATAGTAGTCTAAAACTCGTGCGAACAGCTTTTGCACAAGTTTTCAATATGACTTCAAATTTGGAGAACAAATGTAAGAAAATCAATTTTAAAGCTTATTATCTTTCCTTTTGCTTAAGAATAAATTTGCACGAGTTTGCAGTCATAAACATGTCAAGAAAATTGTTTCGTCTAGAACAATAAGCTTTGAGCAATTCTGTCAATAAGGGAATTTTAATCTTTTTTTTTTTCCACAGTAATATGCTATTTAAACTCGGTTAGGTTCAACGCCTACAGCAAAAGGATGCATAAATTTAATGAAAATTCATCTCCGTTTAATGTACTTCTGTGCGAGTGATCGGAAAAATTTAATTCATTGTTCCTATCTTTGTATTTGAATTTTCAAGTTATAGCTAATAATGTAGTATATAAATAGCAGTGTGTAAAAGTAAGATTCATGCATTGATCTGTGAGCTCAAATAAAATAACTATATGTTTCGCGTATTACTGCCATTGCAAGCAAACTATGAGGCAGTTAATAAATAAGGATTCGTGATGAGCAACCTAATCACAAATGTAATAATTTATTTGTTGTGATACGTTTAATCGAGTGAATTATAAGGAAATAGAAATGTCACCTGCTTTGACGCATCCAGATGTCTGACAGATATTGGAATCCGGGTAATCATCCAAAAGAACCGCTTGCTGATCTGTGTCCGAAGGCAGATGAAAAGCTTTTCCAGAATCTAGAAAATAATATATTACTTATTTCCTAAATTTGAACAGTAAAGCGCATAATTAACATACAGGTACTTCTACTTCAGTTATTGCGTGCAAATCAGTGAATGAAACTCCCTTTGTTTTATTAGGCTTAACTTCTCAAGTTAATATTCACCTGATAGGTGTAATAAGTATTGGGCATTCCTTTAGGCTACGGTATTTGTTTGCCACTAATAACTATATTTATGATCATGCCTAATCTATCCGTGTGTGTGTGTGTGTGTGTGTGTGTGTGTGTGTGATTATGGCAAAGCCTCGAGGGCTATCTGCCTAAAGGGAGGGATGCCTTCGTGGAGGACTTTCTAAGGGAATCTGGCTCGTATACACGTTACACATGGGGAAAACCACGAAAACACCCATGCAGCCAGCCCGTTCGCGGATTCGAACCTCGGACCGAACTACCAGTGTTCAGCGACTTTACCGCTCGGCCGCTGGTGGGCGCCTAATCTATCCAATAAAAGTAAACAAAATCTCACAAATTCTGAGGTAAATGAAATTTGTTCTCAGGAGACTACTATCATGTCATGCTTTACATGTCCATGCAAGGTTTTTATACAAATAGTTCAGTTTCACATTCACCAGTGAAAAAGTGGTGAAAACATAGTAGTTTATCACAGGCTCGTTTTAAAATGCTTACAACAGGCATTCAAGGAATTTTCTCTTAAAACTATGAATATACGAGATAGCTTCAGTACAGTACGTTCAGAATTTTTCATTAGTATTAAGTTTTGCCATTATTTTTCACACGAAGTTTTTCCTCTTCTTGTTACTGGCTTTTTGTCTTTATTTATTAAACATCAGGTTCTTATCACTTACACCTTTAAAATTTCAGTAAAATAACAAAACATTTAAAAACATCCTACCTTTAGAACTCCCTTCTTTTTTATATTCTTTATAATATTTCTTTAAAAACAATACATGGGGATAACATTTGGTGCAATAATCCTTTTACTTTTATTTCCATATATATATTACATATAAATTATTTCTTTCAAAATATTAAATGGCTTTAACTTACGGTGCAATATCCCTTTTTTGAAAAGTGATTCGGCAACAAGTGAATGAATGAAAAAGTGAGGATCGAGAATAATAACACCTGGTGCTAAAAAAATCACGTTTAATACTAAAATAATTAACAAACCAAAATTTCACAAATATTTTATGTACGCATGCGGTATCCTTTTTCTATAAGAATATTATTGAGTTATATATAAGACTTATATAACTGATATTTTGGCCAACCTTTTTCCATTTTCTAGCAACCTTTTTCCACGATTTTTGCTCAGTTTAATTTTAGAAAGAAAACTTAGAGGAAGCAGGTACGATTGCTTTTTGTGAATTATTTTTCTTCAAGAAATCCGTACCTTTTTGTCTTAGCAGGACCCATTTTGTTAATTTTAATTAAGACAAAGTTTTTATATTTTTCGTTAAAGGGCTTCCCCTTGAAATGTATATTTAATACTTACAGGTTTAACCCTGGTTCATTTGATTGTACATTTGCCTTCCCATGCTACTTTGTATATGTTTTTTACCTCTATTAGATGATTTTTTATTACTAAAATGATCTTGTTTTAAGTTTATAACAATGACATTTTTATTCATTTTTTAAAACATTCATTTTTAGACACGTCGGGAAAAGGGACAAACTATTGAAACATCGTTAGTAATAATAGATGATTAAATTTTATAACTTAACTAAGAAAGCCGCTTTCAGTCTCAATGGTTTAGTTTGACGAAAAGTGTCTGGGTCATTAGCTTGGTTTGAGATTTCAGGCACGTTTCCCTTGATACGTCTGTCTGAAATCTTGAACAAAGTGGCTTGACCATTTGTATTTTTATTTAATGCAAAGTGGATTGACCATTTGTATTTCTATTTAGTTCTTTACTAGTTTTTTAAGTTGTAAGACGTGTTTTTATGGTGCTTTTAAAGGATTACTTTGGACTGCGTAAAAGTTGACATTAAATGGATATATTTTATATTAAATTAAAGCCCTCGAGGCGACAAGTCGTTTGGTATAAGTTCAAAAACTGTGGAACAAGCCACTCAAATGTTATTTACATTTTAATTATGGTATTTGTAAGTTTAGAATTTCTAACAATACTTTACCATATAATAACATATAGCTGTCAATACTCAAACTTTTATATTGTCTTAATTTATACTGCAATATAATAATTTTTATATAAATGAATAGCCCTAAATTTTCTCCTTCCAAACATATAAGTTTTATATGGAAATAATTTGAATTCTGTTAGTTGTTAATTAAAATATTGAATTTTGTTGAATATTTAGATTTAAAATCTTTAGAAGCCATTGTTGTTCAAATCATAACATGAATTAGTAAAATGCGCATGCAAAAAATATTTTATAATGAATTGACTAAATAATACCTTACTTTATGAATTTAACAAATATTACTAAACTAGCAGCTTCGTCTGGCTTTTAAATGTACCGGAAAAAGGGCTGAAGGAAATATCAAACGTTAAATTTAAAAACTGCGTAGAATTTTACTCTGCAGAACAACTTCATAAAAAGGTTATTACGTATAACAAAATTACAATGAAATAAGCAATATCCCTTAATACAAACATTAATTATGCTAATAAATAAATTAACCAACTTCCCTTTGCAAAATCTTAAGAACTCAAATGGTATAAAGGAGGTTAAGAACTTTGTTTCCTAAACAAATCACTCAAAACTTTTCAACGTCTTAAAAACAGTGAAATGAACAAACAAATCACATAAAAGAATTTAAAAAAAAAAAAAATCTGAAAAACAAAGTATAATTAATGATATTTTATTTTATATTTTCAAGAGAAAAAAATTACAATGAAATAATCCCTTAATACAAATACTAATTATCCTAATAAAAAAATTAAACAACTTTCCGTTGAAGAAAAAAAATCATGCTAAACTTTTCAATATCTTACAAGCAGTGAAATAAGCAAAACATAACGTGAAAGCAACTCAAAAAACATAAAATTCCGCGCAGAATTTTACTCTGCAGAACAACGGTATCAGGAAAAAAAAAAAAAATAAAATAAAAATGCATCATATAAATATAAAAATGACAATGAAATATGCCAATCTCTTAAAAACAGTGACATAAGAAATACGATGAAAAATTCTTGCCAAACACATATTTCTAAAAGAATGAAACTATTCAAAATGATGCGATTTCATCAAAAATCTATCAACAACAATAAGACAGGAAAATTGTTTCCAAAATCACATTTTTCAAGATGTGAGAAGTGTACTCGGAAGCTTCATTCAAATTTTTTTTAAAAATACAAAGTATTATCATTTTTCCAAAATTCTTTTTGTAAAAGCAGTCGCAAGGATGAACGTTTAACGTGTCCAAATATCAAAGAAAAATAAACTGTACATGTTTAAAAATAAACTTTTTTAGAAAAAAATCCCGTTGAAAAGGTGTTAAGCACACTTTGTTAAATAAATTCGTATTTAACCGATTTATTGAAACACGAAATTTATTTTAAGTTCGTAAAATACCTAAGAGCCTACGTTTCATGACGATGTGAAAATAGAGCGTGTAGAGTAAAATCCCGCTTTCCTATAGCCCATTATGTCTCAAAATGACGCGATTTCGTCACAAAACGTAAAATAAAAAAAAAAAAAAAAAAAAAAAAAAAAAAAAAAAAAAAAAAAACATTTTATTTCGAATATCGAAAAAATCGCTTTGAGGTGCACTGGCTCTTGTCTAGATTCACGTATGTACCAGATTTTGTAGCCGTGGGTCTATTAGATACGCGCAGCGCGCAGACAGTTACGCGCAGCGCGAAGGAAAGACACACACACACACAGACAGACTCTTTCTTTTATTATATGTAGATATAATATTAAAATAGAGAAGGAGGAAAACAACTTACATCCTTATCATAATTTTTATTATACATCAATTCGCTACCATTTATACATTCACACTTATATTACCACAATATTTCGAGATCGTCCAACCTGTCATCATTATATAACCATAATTCCAATAAGCGCAAAAGATATCTATCAAAAGAACAGCAAAATTAAATCAGTCATTGAATTCCTAAAAGACTGTGCTTTAGACGCCTACACAAGCAAACCAACAGTACGAACACCCAATCTTCAAGATACTGAAACCGAACCAGCAGCTATTCTACTGAACGATGCTTCAACATCACCTATAAATCTTTCACCTCTGCAGTTAAATCTTCAGCACCCTTATATCGTCTACTTTAAAGCCTATGCACCGAATAATTGCTAGGTCAGACACTCAAGACCGACACCCAATCATCGTGATACTGCAAATGAATACATGTTAAACATATTTAACAAAGTAGACTAGAAGAGAAACACGCTAATGTGACAATCAAAATCGTAAAAACAACCTTGTATTTAGCGTAGGTATAATGAAACACTCAATCGATTTCGAGGGCAGGTAAAGGTCTCTCCTCATCAGGAGAAAGAAATACCTAGAAAGAAGAAAATACAGGAGAAGGAGTTACAGAAACACGTGGTCCTTATCAGCACTGCACGTGGTCCTTATCAGCACTTTTACTGAGCCAGGCTATCTGATCGAGCATGAAAAATTAGCGAAGTTAAAATAGGGAGCGAGGGGCAAATGCATCTTACGCTCAAAATCTGAATTTCAAATAATGGAAAGCAAATAATAATGGTACTACCAGAGTGTATAAATATCCGTTCATTCAGATTTTGAGCGTAAGGTGCATTTGCCCCTCGCTCCCTATTTTAACTTCGCTCATTTTTCATGCTCGATCAGACAGCCTGGCTCAGTAAAAGTAGGCGGCCAGTGCAACTCTCATTAAAAATCTAGTTATAACCACGTGCAGTGCTGATAAGGACCACGTGTTTCTGTGACTCCTTCTCCTTTATTTTCTTCTTTCTAGGTATTTCTTTCTCCTGATGAGGAAGGACCTTTAGCTGCCCTCGAAGTCGATTGAGCGTTTCATT